GGCAGATTTGCTTCTAGAGAGTTAATATTATTTCAATCTGCAGTAAAACTCTCAAACAAATTTTAGAGTATATAATTCTTAAATATAAATTTCCTAACAGTTATCATCAAAACAAAGAGTTATTATTAAGAACCAATCTGTGTTCTAACAATTTCCATATCAAGTAGTCGATACATATGGTGACTTGATAGAAGAAGTAACGACAATTGATTTGGATCAAGAAAAGAACGATTCAAATTGGTTGGTAGTCATGCAATAAGAACTCAGGGAAATCGAGAAGAATAAGACTTCAGAGCTTTTCGAAAAGATAACCAAGAAGCCAATTGATGTGAAGTGGGTCTACAAATTGAAGTTAAGACCAAATGGTGAGATTTATAAGAATAAATCAAGACTTGTAGAAAGAGGTTTTCTAAAAAAAACTTGGTATTGATTTCGTTGAAGGTTATGCACTAGTGGCAAGACTGGAAACCATTAGAGTTGTTGTGTCAACTGCAACATACAAATGGTGGAAGATGCATCAACTAGATGTAAAGTCACCATTTTTTAATGAACTTTTAGAAGAAGAGTTATATGTCAGTCAACCACCAAGATTCGAAATCAAAGGCATGAGTCGAAGGTGTACATATTGAGGAAGGCTTTATATAGTTTGAAGCATGCTCCAAGCTATTGGAATAAGAGAATAGATAGCTTTTTGGTCGAAGCAGGTTTCACAAAATGTGTCTCAGAACATGGAGTGTATGTAAATAATGCTGATAGGGTTAGACGAATCATTTTATGCCTATATGTAGATGATTTGTTGATCACGGGTACAAATGAAACAAAGATAAAAAGATTCAAGTCAAAACTGATACATGAGTTTGAAATGTCTAACCTAGGAAATTTGTCATATTTCTTAGGGGTGGAATTTAAATACACAAGTGAATAAGTGTTTCTGCACCAGACCAATTATGCTAAAGACATCTCGAAAATGTTAAAGAAAAGAAAATTTAATGCAGTTGTCACACCATTGGAGACTGGAGCAAAGTTAAAAAAAGAAAAAATGATGAGTTTGTAAGTTCAACATTGTACAAATAAATCATTGGATCTTTGAGGTATCTTTGCATTACCATACCAAATATTTGTTAAAGTGTCAGATTGTTGAGCATATTCATGGAGAAACCCCAAGATGTCATCTCATCACAGTCAAGAGAGTGTTGAGATACATCAAAGATACGATTGATCATAATGTGTTAATGACGAGGAAAAAGAAGACAAACACAGATGCAGAGGTATATGGTTACACTAATTCAGACTTCAGTGAAGCTCAAGACGAGAAGAAGAGAATGCATGCATATATTCATTATTGGAGGTGCCCCAATCTCATGGAGTTCAAGAAAGCAAAACATTTTTGCTTTGTCATCTTATGAAGCTGAGTATGTGGCTGCATGATATGCAGCATGTCAAACAACATAGATAGAGATGTTTCTTGAAGAACTCATGTTAATGAAACCTAGGAAAATGAAGTTTTTTTTCGACAACAAGTCAGTGATCGATCTGGCGAATCATTCGGTGTGTCATGGTCGAAGTAAGAACATAGAGAGGAGGTATCGTTTTCTAAGAGAATAAGTTAACAAAGGAAAACTTGAACTTTAGTATTGTAAGACATAATGACAATTAGTTCACATACTCACCAAACCTCTGAAGAAATTCAGTTTCGATGAGTTGAAGAAAAGCATCAGGATATAGTAAAACAAAAGTGACACTTAAGTTTTATCGCAAGGACTATTGAATGATTTAACCAATTGATCGAAACAATAAGTGGGTTTGAGGTTTCGATTAAGATTACGGTTAATAAAATTTGATTACAAATAATATTGACAGATTAATTTATTTTCCGGTCTTCAACTCATCATCGATTATATAGTTCCAAAATCCTAAACGGTTTTAATTCCCTTTCGATTACAACAACAATAATAAGCGCAATTGATACTAATATATTATATGTGTTCCTAATTTCTAAATTAAGCAAACAGATTAAACAAATACGGAATAAGCAAACTCGGTTACGGTACAGAACATACATCAGTTGAAACAAATCAATCCAATTCTATAAGCAACAATTGAATTAAGCAAACAGTGGCAAGTGAATTAAGCAATAGGATTTACAGAAAGAATTGAAAAGGAATTGAAATTGCCTTGAAAAATATAAAAAAACCTCAAAGTGGATGGAGACACGGTTCTAGAAGATCAATCTCTAGGGCATTAGTTCTCCATAGAATTCATAATAGCTCTTCTAACTTTTGTGAATACTTAATGAATAAAGACAAAGTTGAAAATTTACTTAAATAATAAAAGGGAAATTGGGCCCTAATAGCATCCGACCCGAAAAAAATAAAAATCGGTCCAAAACAAATTAATTTATTAAGTCTGGAGATAAAACAAATTATTCGACCCTTCTGCACTCTAAATTAGCTTCTAACTTTAACACAAAAGTTGTAGCTTATCCTCTCGGCTTTCCAATGCATATTAGAACACGTTCAACGATATGTTGTAGCTCAAGCTATGATATGCACAGCGAGAAGGTGTCAAATCACCGCTTATTAAAAAATAAATAATCGAATTAAAATAAAAGAAAAATAAGTTAAACTTAGGAAACACACTTAAAACAATAAAGTAATAGCAATAAGTCATAAAAAATTTCTTAGCACAAAGTAAAATGTGGTGTATTAAAATACACGGATCATTGTCACATGCACTCACCAAGTTAAAACAGTTCATGTTGTACCTGTTGGGGATGTCGGTTTTCTGTTTTAGCGACTGACTACCATATTCCCTAAGCACTTGTTGAGGAAGGCAATCTTAACTTCCGCACACTTTTTTCCCCTTTCCAACCGAAAGTGTGTCTTGGTTGCACTGTAGAGCCTTTGTGTATTCGTCGAGCTCTAGATAAATTATCACATATTGTTACAGGTTCATCATGGACATAGTGGTATTTCATCTTTATGTGGACCGAGGAAGCCACAATGTCAAACGTTACAGCGAAGGGTTTTCCTATAATTCACTTATACACGCTTTTGCTTGGGCTATAAAGAACTACAGGTTTTCCCATAATTCACTTATACACGCTTTTGCTTGGGCTATAAAGAACTACAGGTCTACTGTTGTGGTGTCCATTCCTTCCCCAAAAGTAACCATCAGCTATATGTATTTCTAAGGGCGGGTTATCGTGTCGTTGAAATCTTGTAGGTCAAAGTTTGTATAAGGCGATAATTGTTCTCCCTTCAACCCTAATTGGTGTCCTTTCATTCCCCAAAAATAACCATCAACTCTATGTATCTCTAGGGACGAGTATATTGAGTTAACCTCCTCTTCTTGATTAGCTCTTTCATTGTTCTTTCAAGTGTATGCACTACTCGTTGGTATTGTGCCCATGGCTTTTGCAGAAACGAAAAAACCTTGTCTTGTCAAAAGTAAGTTCTCATAGACGGCATTGTACTGTTGTTGAACGGGATATAAGAAATATTAAAGGAAAAACCTCTTCTAATACTGCGGCGAGACTTCATGTGCAGCGAAGCCGAGATAACCTGTAATATTACCACTTCAACGCAGGTCAATGAAGTCAGAGAGAAGTAGTCCTTAAGAGTGGAAGGGTGCGATAGTACATGTCTATGGCATGTGGTAGGACTCATATATGGTGGACAGTTAGAACTTCTTCTGTCTAACCTCATATGCGATGCAGGTAGTTGTTTGATCTGATCTAAAGATAGTCGATGCAGCTATAATTGGGACACCTCTCTTTGACGAGGTCTTACCTATTTCTATGTCTACAACGATGACGCTTTGGATCAAGTCTCTCTATCTATTGCGATGATACTTTGGATCAAGTCTCTGTAATTGAGTCTAGTTCTTTGAACGTTTGGCTTGTGAGAACGGTTTGCAAATAGAGTAAATAGATCAAGTACTTGATTTAATTTATTTACGATGCTGGGTGAATTTTGATTCAATACATAACACGCGATTTGATTCAACATTGACGCTTTTTGAAGCCATTGTTTCTTCTCCATAAATGGCACAACAGTATGAGTGACAATTGAAGTGATGTTGGGATTTGCTTATAGAGGAGAATTTGCAAAAAGCATGGCAATATTATTATTGAGTTTGAAATAATAGAAGAAAATTTCATTGATGAAAAGTCTGCAACCGGAAAGAATAAGCTGTATATTCCAGAGAAACGACAAACATGACATGCAAGGAAAATGGCTAATGAGAACATGCAGCCAACTACAAAATCACATTGAGAAAAAAATTTAAGCTTGCTATGCTTAACATGCAATTTTTTCATATTAATTTGAGCTTGCTATGTTTGTTTTTTTGTTTTCTTTTCATAGGGATGTAAATCAAGTCTATTCAAATATTATTCCACCTATATTTCAAACGAACTAGCCAGGTTGGTTCCAGTATTTTCTTTGGAGCATTTGGCAGTTAACTTCCTTCAAATTCAAATATTCTCAAATATATAACAAAAATAGTTGTTGTGGTCAGGCCACTCTGTATCAGGGTTCAAGTTTCTCAGTGTGTACAAAGCAGAATATGTTATTTTGACCTCAAGATTGATTCGAAAATAATTGATCCAAGTTTGTCTTTTAAAGAAAAATAATATAACTGATGTTAGTACATTACTACATAACAATAGGGGAAAAGGGCTTGAAAATGGAATTACAACATGACATGTATATCGTATATCGGCAACAAAGTTTTCAAATTGAACATGATCATTGAGCCAGTATTCCATGACGTGCTTAAAGTGAAGTAAAAGGACAACAATGAGATATTAGAGACTCGTCTCTTTGATTTCCTAACAGACAGTGCGCGTTTAGCATCACAGATTTGCCACCATAGTTTTGTGAAAGATACACTATAGTTTTTGCAAAATCACAGTCAAACTCACCACGAATCCAAGCATGCAAAAGTTGTAGATAGTATCAATCACATCAAACTTCCATCCCATGACATTTTGCTTGCTAATGCTTTCTATTGGAAGACTTCGACTGAACTTTCAGATGTGCATTCCATTGCAATAGCATCCATATTATTGATGTTCCTATTATTGACATGAGATTAAGTTAGATATTAAAATATGTTGGATCAATGAGTAAATGATTCTGAAATTAGAGGGCAATAATAAGTGAGACTGAGGAAGTTCCAGAATAATATTGGGCTGCAAGGTATAAAGTAGAGGACATCTATTTGAATCATTGGTTTTAAAATTAAGACAAACAATGTAATATAAGTTAAATTGGTGGGACACAAGAATAATATTCATCATACCTGCAAATATGCTGACAGTAGTGAGATTCGAAACTGCCATTGTTTGATAAATTAGGTATTCGGTCAAGAAATGACCAAACGCATAGACGAATGACAATAAGGTAGCAAGATAAATAGGCTTATTATCAAGGTTGAATGCACAGATATAGCAGAGGGTGCATGTTAACAGTGTCCAAGTTCCAAATGTGCGTCCATGAACTTCACTCACTGCAACAAATGATAAACTCTAATCAGTTCCCATAATTCTGCAGTGCATATTAGAATAATGTTTGAAATTGTACTCTAGCTTGAAAGTTCATAATAGAAATGCAGCAAAACAACTTTGCAAAACCATTGTGAATGTGTTATTGTGTTCTTGCCTATTGTTGATTTTTAAAAGTCAAAAATAGTATTCTCATCAGAGAACGATGATCTGGGTAAAATCAATGTCATATGTCGCAAGTTTTGGTAGTGTGGTTGAAAAGAACAAATGTTAATTATTGATTTTGCTCTATTATCAATCAATGGTTTGGTTGATTTTGACGTGGCCTAATTTTACCATATTATCCATAGGACTACTTATAACAAAAACCCAAATCAACCAAACCACGAGAGATGATTGCTCATTTTGTTTTAATTGTTTCTGTCTTTGCATATACGAGTATTGCATAAGCATTTGCTGCTTCCAGCAAGAGAAAAAAGCATTCAAATTCTAAATTTTCAACAACTTTCACTGCATATTTTGGGCATAAAGTTCAAGCTAAATTAATACTATATGATAAAGAGAATAGTGTGTTAATAACATATTGCAATATTACATTTTCAAATATCAACACATGTGATGTTCAGATCAGAGTTCAGATTCATGTTCAACCCAAACATGGATTCCAGGCAGTTATGAAAAAACTAGTCAAAATGTCATGAGCCATTGAATTAACATCAGATGGTTCCATTACTACTTCATTAATAAGCCATCAAATCAAGATCAATAGTTACAACAACCATTACTGTATAAAACAAAATCTGCATATATGTATGGGTTTCTTACTAGTTATATACATGCGTCAAAACAAAATCAATGGCTTGGATCGTCAACTACACAACTGTTTATGAAAAAATGAGCAAGACCTAATAATCAAAACATTTATCCAGAAGAATTGAAGAGTGAAACAAGGAGCAGATTCATTGTTTCTCCTAATAATCTAAATCCAAAATTATAGATTCATTCATTAGCATCTTCTAGATTACCCAGATACAAATAATTTAGAGTGCATTGGGATCTATGAGATCTCTTATTCTCATACATTAGATTTAGGAACCTGTATCAATTGTGTGGCTAGTTACTGTAACTCTAGCAGCTGAAAGAAGAAGCAACCGTAACCGACTCTACAGACAGAATCTACCATTGAAATGTGTGAATGAAACAATTTGGAGTAAAATGCGGAAAGATAGAGAGAGTACATACTGGTAGTTTGAGAGAAGACGGCGAGTCGAAGTGCCCAAATGTCGAAGAAACCGAACCATACGGAGGCTAATCGAAGCGTACCAACAACTATCAGCCACCATCCTAACGCCTTCATTTTTTTTTCTTTCTCCTCACTCTTCCCCAAATTTACTGCGGTGTTAGTGTTATGGGGGGTTAGTTCTTAACTTCAACAAAATTATAAAAAACTTAGCCAAATTATAAATTGTGGATGGCTCATTTTGTTAAAAATAGTTATTGGCTCATAGGTTAAAAATATTTATTGGCTCATAGGTTAATTAGAATGGTGTGTGGCCTCAGGTGGTATGTGACCTTTGTGTATTATTTTGGAGGTTTGATGGTGAAGATTTCTTTAAGGAGGCGGAGGAGAATATGTGATAAAATTAAGGCCGCTCGCATGAAAACTAATAGTCTTTAGAGACATTTCGAGGGTTTTATTGTCTAAGGGGAAAAAAAGTCAGGCGAGAGAACTACTTCATGACTCGCCCAACACTAAAGCTCAGAAGCCTGAGGGGAATCCTTCTCTGGCTGTCGTGGTCGAAGTTGTTTCACCTACCCTAAAGGAGGCGGGTGCTCAGAAGTCTTTTGTGAAGGTGAGATAATACTTAGAAAGGGGGGGATTGAATAAGTATGGAAAAATAAGACTTAAAAATAATCACACAATTATTTTTATCCTGGTTCGTTTAACAACTACTCTAGTCCACCCTTCCAGAGTGATTTGCCTTTCTCAACAAGGACTTAATCCACTATTAAATCAAACTGATTACAATAGTATCACCTAAGAACAACAGTTCTTAGTCTTCTCAAGAGCTACTTATTCTAACTGAATCCTCTTAAGGAATATCCTTTACAATCAATGTAAATTAAATACAAGAGATTTTAATGCTTCTATAAAGCTTTTATCACAACAGTGATTTTTCTCTTAAGTTTAAGTACAATGAGATTCTATGAAGAATAAGAATGAGAGCTTTTAGAATATTATGATTTCTTTTCAGCAAGTGTGTAGCACTAAAGAATGAAGTGAGGATCTCCTTTTATAGGCAGCTGAATCATGCAAGCTGAACGTTGAAAAGAGAGTCCCAAAAGGTCTGAGCCTTTTTGTCTTCACATCAACTGACCTTTCCTTGAAATAGATGGCACAGAAAAATCCTTTTTGTCTGTGTAAGTGTGTCTAGCACAAATAAGGAAAGAGACGTTGAATAGTTCCAACGGATATATTCTTGAAAATACTTCTTCAGTTTCAGCAAGTTCTTCAGAGTCTGAATGGATCAGAGTCTTCTAATGAGATTCAGAACTATGTTGTATCAGAGTCTTCTGCAGCGTGTGTGCTTCTAGCGTGTTGATCATCAGAGCATTTTGACACAGAACTTCAGTACTTGGCAGCGCAGGTACTTTCAGAAACTTCTGTAGACTAATGCTTTGAGAAACTCTTCAATCAATATTCTTCTATACTTCTGATGCTTCAGCTTCAGATGCTTCTGATTCAGAATGTTCTGGAGCTTCTTGCTTCAGATCCTTCTGGAGACTACGCTCAGGATCTTCTGTGAGGAGCAAACAGATTCTTCTGTAAGGTGCATCTGGCGCTTCAGAGTCAGAATAACTTCTTGTATTCAAGGCAGATTTGCTTCTAGAGAGTTAATATAATTTCAATCTGCAGTAAAACTCTCAAACAAATTTTAGAGTATATAATTCTTAAATATAAATTTCCTAACAGTTATCATCAAAACAAAGAGTAATTATTAAGAACCAATCTGTGTTCTAACAATCTCCCCCTTTTTGATGATGACAAAAAGTATCAGAAATTTTATTTAATTGAACATAAAGAATTATAACTCCCCCTGAGATGATGAATCTCCCCCTGAGTTGAATATGAAAAAGGAATAGAAACTTCCCTTTTTATCTTGAGTAACCTTCAGAGTCAGATCTTGTTTGTTTTGTAATAATTAAGGATCAGACTATCTTGCAGATATGAGATTCAGAGTTTGATAAAAGATAAATGATCTGAGAAACTCAGAGATTCTTTTATAGAGTGTTCTTATCAAATGTTCTGAAATAGTCAATTTAGATATTAGAAAGAGTAGATATGTCTGAAGATTCATTCTAGTGAAATTATATTAAATAGTTCAGATCTTTATTTTCTCCCCCTTTTTTGTCATAAGCAAAAAGTAAAAACTTTTAATAAAGACAAATAAAAGGAACGAGAGCAGATAATTCAATGGAGAATAACAAGCTGATTCATTTAATCATAACAGAGCAAAAGTATATTGGAAAATATCAGAAGAAATAACAATAAAAATTTAGATGCAAAACAACAGATGCACAAATATGAGAAAAAAATCTAAGAGTGTTTTGACAAAAGCATCTTCAATAGGTCTGTGATCTCAGATTGTGATTGCTCTTGCTTTGACATCCACTTAGTCATTGTCTCATTCTTCTCATCTTGTTTAGACATCCACTCTGACATGTCCTCAGATTTCTTGTCTTGCTTCACCATCCAAGATCTTATTTCAGATTGACCAGCTTCCAGAGCAGCAATCTTGTCTCCAAAATCTGGATTTTCTGTCTTTGTCTCTGATGAAGGAAATGGAGGTTCTGCATCCTGAACAGAGTCAATTGCCATAGGGTCTGGAGATCCTGAAGAGGGTTCTACCAGAGTCATAGTCAATGCATTGGCAGTTGGTTCTGGTGGAGGAGGAGGAGGAGCATCCAAACAAAGCAGAGGTTCAGTCTTGTTTACAATCCAGAATTGAGTTCTTTCAGCTCTGAGCTTTGCATCATCAGAACAGATGTTCTTCAGATTAGAAGCTACAATGTTGAATCTCTTGATAAACCCTTTCCAGATGATGTCAGTCTCATTTGCATCCATAGTTTCAGAGCATCTCGTCTGAACAGTACCTAAAGACATCTGTATTTCTTGCAAAAACGTTTGAAATAAATGATCAATATTAAGTCTGGGTGGTGGTTTAAGCAAGGTTTCCAGAGTCATCTGTTTAGGTTTGGGAGTTGGTGGTATCAGTGATTTTGAGATGGAAATCAGAGGAGGGGGAACATAAGGAATGAATGGAATTTCTGGTTTTTGAGGTAAGGATCTGTTTAAAGCATTAAGCAGAGTTGGTTGAGGTCTTGTGCGTGGGTAAACAACATCAAAGGATGCATTGGAGTATGGTACGAAAGCAGAGTGTGATGGTTTATCAGATGCAACTGTGTTATCAGATACAGGATGCAGAGCTGAAACGGCAGCTTTACCAGATGTAGCAGATATGGTGGCTAAGGATCCTTCATTGTTCATAGATTGAATATATGAAATGATTACAGATGGAAGGGCCTGTCTGAGTTTTGGTTTGAGAGGTATCAAAGGTTCAGAAGGCTCAACTCTATCATAAAAATCTTTCAATTTGAAACCATAAGATAAATTATGATAAAGAGAAGACACTTGGGCACAAGATATTCCAGATGATGATGGATTGGAAGTGGGAACAATCATCTCAGATGATGGTGCAGGTGGAGGCAAAGGGTCTGAAATGGAAGTTTTAGCAGGTAAGGTTGATTCAGGTTCAGGTTCAGGTTCATGTACAGGATATTTGTCAGATGGATTAATCCGAAAATCAGGATGAATTTCTGATTCTGATGAGTTGGAGGATGTAGTAGGTGTACAAGAGGTAGAAGAAACTTGAAACACTGTTTTTAATGGAGTGATATCAAGAACTTCTGTCTCAGGGATATGAGATGGTTCTGAAGGAATATCAGATTGTTGAGAAGGTGGTTCAGATGAAACTGGTGCAATAGGTTCAGAAGATGGAAAGTTTGATGGTGGTATGACAGAGTCTTTTTCTGGTTGATCTTCTGTGGTTTGTTTTTCTGGATGATCAGAAGTTTTTGGTTGATTTTCTGTTTGTGGTTGAGCAGAGTTTTGTTTATCAGAAGTTTGTTGTAGTTCTGATGGTTGTGGTTCTGTTGGTTGTGGAACTGATGGTTGTGGAACTGTTGGTGATGGACGTGGAGTGAAGTGTTTGATGTGTATTTTGGGTTGAGGTGGTTTTGATATAGAGGCAGTGGTTTGTTTTTGAGGTGAGACAGAACTAGGGGCAGCAACAGATGTTGTTTGAGTGACAGGTGGTTTGGGAACAGACTTAATAGATGAATCATTAATAACAACAATTTTAGAAATAGCAGAAGTCTTTGTACCTTTGAGTTTAATCCTCTTAGCAGATGCAGAGGCAGCTTCTCCAGAATCCTTTCTCTTTAAAAGATCCTTGGGTTTCTCAGCAATCTTAGCCTTCTTCTGGACAGGTTCAGATTCTGCTACAGGCTGAGATCTTTTCCTCTGAAGTGGAACTTCTTCTTCTTCTTCTTCTTCTCCTGCATCTGGCAGTGGTTGCTTGACAAGTTGAAACACATTGGCTGGAACAGGCACTCCTTCCTTTTTGCATTCCTCTATATACATCAGAACAATGTGTCTAGGTTCTTCAGCAAAGAATAGAGGAAAGTCAGATACTGGAACCCTCTTATTCAAATCAGACATATTTAACCTCTTTGGAGCAGTAGTAAGTTCATCTACAATCTTGAGTCTCAGAAGGCTTTTAGCGTTCAGAGGCTTTCCCATAATGAACTCTAGTTCCTCTGTAACACCAACATTATACAGAGCAGCCACTAAACCATTTTCAGTGAGAAGATCTGAGAGCAACCTTCCAAAAGGTATCCAAGTCCTGATCTTCTGGCCTTTTTCTTTTGCAGATTCTCTAGAGGCATTTATGTGATTCCACAGATGCATGAACAAAATGTAAGGAAGATCTACCTTATTGCTCTGACTAAGGCAGTACATAAAATAGATCTGTTCATTGTTGACATAATCTGGGGAATTTGTTGACTTTCTGTGATGTATGCATCCCATGAAGATCTTGGCCCAGATCTTGTAATCAGGCTTCAGATCTTTGAATCTGTTAGAGGCTTGTCCAGCAGTCATAACTTCCTCATAAACTTCATCCATATCCACACGCCCAGCTGGCAAATGTGAAACACCATCTGTTTCTTCATAACCAATCAGTCTTCTAATCAGATCCTTTGTGATGATGATCTCCTTTCCCAGCATAGATGATA